CGAGGGTTCCTTGAGTTATAAATGAATGTGTAGCACCAGTATCGACAAGGGCTCGGATTCTTTTCCCATTGACAAACACACCGATGTATATCAACGAAGGATTTGTGCGATAACAGGCTCTTTTTGGAGGATGTTGAATACAAGTGCGGATGAAATGTCCGACTTTACCACATCCAAAACAGCGTGGAGATGCTTTCTTTGGGGTATGTGTTGTATTAGTAGGAGGATTGTAACTTTTTGTAGCAGACGAATTCTGATGATATGGTACTGGACGAGCACTTAGTTTTTGAGGTGAACATTGAACAGATGATACAGACGTTTCTGGCTCAGCTTTGGACTGGAGGGAATCGATGAAAACCGAAGCAGCTAATGCTGCCTGGGTACGAACAATAGTTTGTAATGATTCTTCTTCTTGTGCTACTTGAAAGAATTGGGATGCCGTTGATGGATGACGACGAAAAACGTCTTTTTGCAATGACTGCTTTAAACCCATTTGTAAATAATTTAATTTGGAAGTATCAGTCATATTCGGATCAGTTTGATTACATAATTTGATCATCGTGTTATAGTATTCAATCACAGATTCGTCGGATCGTTGTATATGATTATTCAGTTTGTGAAATGAAAGTCAGTGTTGATCAGAGTTTCTAAACACATTCGAGATTCTGCCCATAAATTCCGGCCATGAGTGAATACTATCTTTGTTTAATCGCCACCAATTCTTCGCTTCGCCATCAAGATATAGGGGTATTAGTTGAAGTCTATGTAATGAATTCAGATTAATGATGTCGAATGTTTCCGTTATTTCTAACAGCCAGTGTTGAACATCATCATGGTTTGTACCAGAAAATTTCGGGGCTTCTTTTATCGCCTTGGCTAATACAGATATTATCACTGGTGTTGAGAAGTGGTTATGTTGATGTTCGGGCATCTGTATCGCAATCTGGTCCATCGTGCTGTGATGACAAGAAAAAGAAACACCACGGGTTGTACTTACTGTGATGTCTGACTGACAGTAAGCCGGCTAGTGCACCAATTGTTAGGTTCCATCTAACTTGTTTTAATCTTCACTTGTATGTACAAATGTTTTATTAAGAAAGCAAGGGCACTCCCCTGTACAGTATATGCCTGTGTATATATAGGCGAGAAAGAAAGGAAAAAAGAACGTAACAGAAAACATGATATAATATAAACAGTGATGTAATATATACAATGGTGTCACAGGATGGCATGATGAGATATAGGCATGTTTATGTCAGTCGTGCGACTGGCATAACACCGGGCTTGGTCCAGAAAGGATCATCATCGGGCCGGACCGAGCCAAAAATTTTCGGCTCGTGCGGATTTCTGGTGTCAAACCACTGGGCGTCTCATTTTCGACATAGAATGACGGTGGTCTCATTCGCGGATAGGTATATCTCATATAGTCATAAAGATTATCCAATCCGTTGAGAAAGTAGCGCATATTGTGTCCGCTGAAAACAGAAAAAATATGATGTATCAGTTTAAATTAATTACGAATGTTTTATTTAGTTGAAGATAACCTTCTCGTTCTGTTTTCTCGAGATAGGTAAGTCCAGACTCAAAGTTTTTATTTCAGGCCATATTGCTCATGCTGAAGCTGTTTTTGTATGTTGTGCTTCAAAAACCCTAATCTCAAACTTACAGAATTCTGAGAACAAGATGATAACCATAATTGGCAATGCAGAATACGACTCTTTACAAAACATATATATAATCTCTCTGATTGGTTCATATAACATAATTAAAGCTGTCAAATATTCATCTCAAAAGTCCAAAATACCTTTCACCAGCGTTAAAATATTTTTCTACATTTATTTGCCAATAAACTTTTAAGAGCCATCTTTAGTCAAGATTTATGGAGATATGTTGCAAAGTACTCTACCCTCTGTTCAAAAACTTCATTTAATTTTATAAATTAAAAAGTGTTGTTTTAGGAACTCACTCTTTCGTTTTCTAACTAATGGACTCAGCAGTTATATTTAATACTTTAAATATTCTACAGAAATTAAGGGCTGATGATGGCCCGGCCCGGCCCGATGAAGGGCTGAAGATATAAGAGCAAAGATACTTATAGTGTATATAAAGTAAAAAAAAGATTCTGTATATGAAAAGAATAGGATTAACTCCCACCTCCGTCAGAAATATTTTTTCATAACAAGTCGATATTGAGCTAAACTTATAGTTGGATAGCCGCGAACGTCCACTCCTAGAATCCACGGTGTTTTTGCCATTATCAATGACTTATATGAAGTTTCCGAAAAAGCCCAAAGAAACTGATTTTTTTGAAATTCTGACATTTTAGTAAGAAATCATAAGGACTTCAATAATGTTCGTTTGTAGAGCAAACATTTCTGGTTAGAATTTGACATTACGCAACTTTTGAGCCACGCTATAACCAAAAGTTATAGCAGTTTTATTAAGAGTCGTAAAATCTGTGTCACACACTAGCACAATCATATCTCAGAATCGACTTTTCTCTTCGTCGCTCTAAGGGTTTCCAAAATTCTCATTCAGTTTAGATGCTAGAGAATTCGGTATGGTTTTGTTGCTCAAAAATTTTGTCACTTTGACAATAAAGAGTCGCATTCTACAGTTTCACTTCGGAAGATAAGAAACACTAAGGATTTCGGAAGAACTAAAAAGAGCGTTTCCAAGGTTTGAACAAAAAATATTTCACGTTCATCAGTAACAAAGAAATTTCGAAAATCCGGCCCTGTACCGTTAAAGTGACATATTTCTCTATAAAACCAAACCATCCCGAGTTCTGTAGTACCCAAACTAAGTGAGAATTTTGGCAGACACTAACTGACCCATTTAACCGATTTTGATACTGTACTGAACGACAAAGTTGTTTAGAACCCCAAACTCTATTACATATGCGAAAATTGTATATAATACACTTATGTCGAGAAAAAATTTCCGAATTATTTATTACCAAATTTAATCTGTATATGAAACTCGACTTCAATTTAATTATATTTAGTAATTTTACAACCGCCTTCTTAGTTACTACAGACTCAGACAGAATTCATTTCTGAAAGAATCAAAGATACCGGTTTCGACCTTTCTCAAGGGTCTCGTCAGGTGGTTTCCTTCGAGAAAGACAGAGTTAAGGCACGACAAGCAACGCAAACTCCGTATGAGGGTGTTACTATTCCTTGTTCTTATCGAACAAAGAACGATAACTTTCACACGACGAGAGCGAAGCACGATATCACTGTACAATGCACATGTTCTGCTTCTCTACATTAAGTATTTCTTT